ATCCAGATGTGCTAAAAAAAGAGTGCATAGATCACACTCAAAAAAGAATGGGTACACGTTTGAGAAATTTGGTAAAAAAAACTAAAGGACTGAGCGGTAGAGGAAAGTTGACTGGTAAATTGATCGATAAGTTATCAATATACTACGGTCTTGCAATCAGACGTCATTGTAATTCTATTGAAGAAATGAAGAAAGCTATTTGGGCGACGTTATACCACAACATATCTACTGACCAGAAGCCTCAGCACCACTTGTGCCCGGAAGGTGAGAAGTCGTGGTGCTCTTGGCAATCAACAAAAGCGACGGCCGGAGATCTACAAAATTATAAACATAAAACGCCTATGCCAATTGAGGTATTTGAAGCTGTGAAGCCAATATACGAAGAATTGAGTAGAGATGAACTTCTCACTCGTTGCTTAGGTGGATATACACAGAACTCCAACGAAAGCTTTAATGCGCTCGTGTGGTCCATGGCCCCTAAGAACATTTCTAGTGGCAAAATCGTCCTCGATACAGCTGTATTTCTTGCTGTTTTATATTTCAATGATGGCTACAATGGAGTTTTCAAAGTTATGGAGCAATTGGGCATCACAATTGGAGAAAAATGCTACAATTTCTGCTCGGAAGCCGATGCTGTCCGTATCTCGCTTTCCGAGCGCTCCCTCACTGAAGAGGCTAAAGCTGCCCGTAAAGATGCAACTTCATCCAGAAAAGATGAGGACCAAGAGAATCTTCATTTGGAAGGCCAATTGTATGGAGCAGGCATTGCAGATTGAAGGTAAAACAAAAATTTCACTAAAATCATACTACTTGAAACTTTAAACGCGTTTATCTCGAAACCATGTTTTTTGAACTTGGCGTACACATAGAGCCTACAATTTTCAACCGATTGCTTTGAAATTTTTACTGTATCTTAAAAACATGATTTTCTAGTGAGCATCGTAGGATTTTTTCGATATTTGTTGTTGAACCGATTTTATAGCCGATTTTCGATCGATTTTTTCGAAAAAAAACGGGTTTTTCAATCAAAACGATGCCATTTTTTTTAAAATTCATTTTTTAAAAAAATCCTACGATGCTCACTTCATTTTACCTTATATTTTAAGAAAATCTTTGGTTTTTTGTTCTAGATCAAAAATTGTGACCTGTACATGTACGCCAATGCGGATGTATAAAAAAAAACGGCTTTTTTTCAGTGTGCTTCCACGCCGGCATTTTATATTTAAAAAATTCAATAAAATATGTTTTTTATACCTAAAGACTAGTACTTTCATTAGTGCAAAACCCCATATTAAAAAAAATTTTTTTGAGTTCACAGTAAGCCTTTGAAATAAGGCTCAGTTTTGCAGGTTACAAGGTGATATTAGCCCTTAA